GAGTTTGTGATCACGAAATATTAATTTATTTATGTTCATTATTTTATTTTTCTAACATAGATACATTAAATTTATCTAAATTATCAGTAAAAATATTCAAATTTAAGTGCAAAAGACGAAACACAATATTTTTTTAAAAATAAAATCCAACTGATTTTGTGATTGGGGAAGAGCACCAAAAGAATTTCTTAGTTAAGAATTAGCAAGAGCGTATAAGTGGATATTGTGGAGTTTTTTTCTTTCTCCAATTGAGTGCGAGAGTTGTAAAATTTTCTTAATTATAAGTTACCTTTCTCCTGATGCACTCTTTTCATTTTTTTTTTAGTTTCTGAACCACATAAGCTAAATGAGAATCAAGAAACCGAATTTGTAAGAGCCGATAGTTTGTAGAGTTTTTTTCCTTCTCTAATTGAGTGTAAGAGTTGTCTAATTTATGTACTTATATAAGTTATTTTTTCTCCTCATGCATTCTTTTTAGTATCTTTAGTCTTTAAACTGAATAAACTAAATAAGAATTAAGAAATCGAAAGAAAAAAAATGAAGAACGCATAAAAAGAAAACGGGAGTAAAAATCATTACCCGTGGGCCATGATTAATCTCACTACTGGTGTTGTAAAAACTGTAAAGTAGAGAGAGGTAGAGGCATAAAGCTTTTCATACATCAATCAAGTTGTGGCATGCTAGTGTCCCCTTTGGAGGTATCAACCATCCTTTCCCTCACCTGCCCTCCTTACACTTTGTCAGTACACAGCTAAATTAGTATCCTACCATACCATATGTTACCGTATGCAGCAAGAATCATGAGCTACATAATAATTTCTTTCCTTACTGAGAAATTAAAACTATATAAATATATTTGCAAAGTTCAAAACATTTTTTATGCAGATTGGAAAGATTGTTCTTTGTGGTCGAAAAGTTACGGATTTGAGCAATAGAAATAACCTATTTGTAAAGTAAATGTAAGGCTGAGTATGATAGACGTCTCTTTCCGATCATTTCCCTCCACCCCTCGGGATCCTCACAAAGCAAGAAGTCATGTTAGTTTGTGGTCGCTCTTTTTTGGATTTGTCTGGTTTTCTTGGTTATCATTATGCATTATGTTAATCTAGTGTAATCACAAGAGGTTACAACTTACAACATAGTTAACTTGTTCCTAATTGAGTAATTATGTAGCATTTAAGGTAACTAAGTGCCTCCTACTTCCCCAACACAGCATGAAAATCATACACCTATATTTTTTTAGATGGTAAACGAGAAAATAGATTTTTCGGTGTCATCAGTTATAATGCTAAACAGATAAATTGTGAACGCATATCAAATTATGAGATGTCTGCGATCATATCAATCACCGATTGATAACTGTAGTTTGCAGTATGAATTGTCAACGATATTAATAATATCAATGATACGTATGCATTAAATAAAATACGATAAACTGCATTGTAGAAAAAGTCTATTTTCAATCATATATGTAGACTATAGTTCTTATCAAATTAAACAAACAAAAGTCTCTCATGAGGCCAAAAGTCTAATTTTGCAAAGATTCTCAGGCCAAGGAAATCAATTTGGAATATTTCGCAGGAAATGCACACCACTACAAGAACCAAGAATTATTATTTGAAGGCCTACGTAATGCAAAAGGGGAAAAAGAGGTAAAAGAAGGGACATCAAAAGTGCTTTTCATGATTTATTTCCTTCGATTATTTTATTCCATTTCATCCACTGTTACTGATATTTTTTTAATCATACATGACAACAAATCTTTGATGTTGAAATTGATGCATTATCACAACGTTCTGAATTCGATTTTTTATATTTAAATCACACAATAAGCTAAAATACCTCTATAAGTCTTTCGACTTCCAAAATGATAGATTGTAGCAGGTGAACTCACTATTTGATTCTTTTCATAAGAAAAACAAAAATATTAGTCAATAATTATTCACACTTGAAACTTTTTTCTTTTTGCATGTGATCTAGTGGATAGGATGTTGGATTTTTATTCCTGCATCTCCTCTTTTATATTATTGTAATAGTTTTGAATCATTCTCACTTCCTTTAATAAATTATGTTTTAAAATCCTTTTTTCCTTTTAAATTTCCCTTCTCTTCCTCTCTTGAGTGATAATTTTTTTTTAACAAACAATATTATTTGCACTAAAAGGGTAGGGAAGTGAGTTAAGTCTCACTCTAAGCTAGCCATAATAATGTGGTTCAAATTCATCTTTGACGAGAACCAAACCTAAGATCTCTCACTTCTAAATGAAGAGAAATATCATTAATCACAGTATTGAGTGACTCTCTTGAGTGGTAATTAACTTTGAAATTAATCCTTTGTTTAATTATCAGCATAAAGCATATAAGCCACGTAGTACTAAATGCAGTTCATTTTTTTGGGTCAAATAGTAGCAATAGTAGTTCAACCTTTTAAGAAGAAAGTAGTATGATATGATTGGGTTTTGTTCACTCTTCACACACCGAATTGAGACTTTGACATTGCCACTTTTAGGACCTTGGCGCATGCATGGGCTATAATATACTACCAAGTTTTGTACTAGCTTAGTCAAAAGTGTTCTTTCCACCATGCATGTATTCTCAACTACTATTGCCCTCGGTACGACTTTTTAACTGGGATACTTCTCACATTCAGTAGGATTGTGTGGAATCGGTTGAAACCATAATATATGAAATCTTATTATTTCTTTGGTGAGAGGTGTTTTATAAATGACGTAATCAGACAAGCTCCTGCTTAAATTTTTATTTATAAGCTAGATAGCTACCTATGTCAACAAACCCAAATCCTAAATTTTCACTTACTTAATATTAATTAGTTAGAAATTAGTTTATTTTAGCAAAGGGAATTACATACCAACTAGATGTTTTTGGTTAGGGAAAGTACAAAAATAGTGAGATTCAACAAACACAAGGATAAACTCACCCACAATCCAAAAAGAAAAAGTTTGGTAAAAAATGATCTTGCACGATACTTGTGGGGACAAATTAAGCAATGAATTGCAAACCCCATAAGAAGTGACTTTTGCATTTTTTTAATTTTATTTTATTGTTTCCCTTCTTTTTATCCTATTTATTTTCTACTTTTAAGTTGTATAATTTAAAGAAAAAACAATAAATATGTACAAATATATATATATAAGTGGAAATTATTTTTCTCTACGAAATCAACCAAACTCTACTCTGATTTCTAAAGAAGCAATGAGCATGTGTTGTGCGAGAGATTTTTCAGTGTTGAAATACGGTCCGGTACAAGATGCCATAATATAAGTGGTTGAATATTAAAAAAAAAATTACAATTATTTTTATTATGATATTTATGTATCGAATCGTGTTATCAACGAATCGAAAAATTTATATGCTTTACACATTACATTCCATCATCAACATTTCAAATCATCACAAAAACTTATCACATTAATCAAATAAAGAAATTAGTGGGCGCCACCCAACCCCTTTCAAAAAAAAAAAAAAGTTGATAACTTTGTTACAAAGTTCCTTTTGTTCATATGATATCATATCATATGATCTCTCCTTCCTTCTTCTATACACACACAATACTTCTCCAAGTTTCTCCCATTAATCCGTCGGAAAAAGATGGACGAGTCCTGGCGCATGCGCATGGGATTAATGCCGGGACTCCCGCGGCGGCGCTCCGCGGAGCATGCCTCCACTCGCTCTGTATTTGCGGCCGCAGCCTGCCAAAGACTCCCATATGACGCTTGAACCCGATGACTTTGCGGATGTATTCGGCGGGCCGCCGCGGAGCGTCCTCCCGCGCCAATTCCCGGGGGCTCGACTTCCTTTTACGAGGAGATCTTCCGGCCGCCGGAGTTCTGCTTTACGGCGGAGAACAGAGACCGAAGCTTGCCTGCGTTTAGGATTCCGTCGAGGAGCGAGCGGTTTTATAGTGATATTTTTGGATCGGACGACGACGGACGCCAGCGGATGTCGAGAGAGCGGTCGAGGCCGAACTCGAAGACGAAGTCAAAGTCGAACTCGTCGTCGGTGCTGAGCTCGGAGGAGCTGAGTCCTCTCCGGCCGGTCATCGGCGATGACGTGGCATTCTCCTCCTTCGCTTCAAAGCTCAGGTAGTTTACTGTAGTTACTGTGCCTTTCGCGGTATGGCCAACTGTTTTTGCCGCTGTTATTTAGCTTGACGATTATACCCTTAACATTGCTTTATATTTGCGTTCATTCTGCCTTCAATTTGGTTATATTCGAAGGGTAAGGATTTGGAAGCCTTCTGAATTTTCTTTCCAAATTTTTTGAGTTTTTTCCCATAGTTTCCATTCTAATATTTTGAATTAAATCCTGTGTTTGGCCAAAACATTTGGAATTTAAATATTATTATATTTTTTTTCCAGAATCATTATTAGTCTTGTAATTTAATTTTTCCCTTGTTGATAAAAGTGCTTTAGTGGAAAGCGCTTGGACATCACTACTAATTGTTTTGTAAAAAGCACTTTGCTTACCCAAAAGGAAAATAATAAAGAGAGTATATTTTCGTGTTATATTTCCGTATTATTTGATCTATTAATCGATGTGTATTTACCGTGTTAATAAAATTTTACTAATTTTATCGCATTAGATATTAGTTATATGCATCATTTAGTATTCAGAAGTAGTACAATTACTCAGTCAAAAGATTAAGATTAGATTCATCTTTCAAAATTTTTAGCAATCCAATTATTAATGAGTTTCTCAACTCAACAAATTCTGGGTTGCCACAGACCACTAAATGTGCCATGTAGATGGAACTCATCAACCATGAAGCCAACCAAGGAACATCCAAAGAAACAAGGCACGTCAGCTCTGCGTTGCAATCCTCTTTCCTTCACTGAAAACCAAGTCCTGGAGAAATTATATGATGAAAAGTTCAGAAGCTCCAGTAATTTCGGATTCACAAGGAAGGTCTCGTCCCCAGAAACCATGAGTCCCGGACCCAGTTCGTGTCGAAGCGTCAAGCAATTTGCGGATGATCTGGAGCTCCTCTCACCATGTTCAGCAGTCTCTTCGCTCTGCCAAGAACATGAGATTAAATCCGGGATTTGGGATCGGGTTTTGCGAGAGAAAGAAGTGGGAGTATTGGAACAAGAAGAAAAGAAGAAGATAATAATGACGATGAAGTGATGAGCTCTTATGTGATTGAGATCAATTCTGATCAGCAAAGAGAAGAAGCAGTTGGTATTGAAGAAGCGATTGCATGGGCTAAAGAGAAGTTCCAAACACACAGTAATTCCGAGAAAGAAGGGACCAATCAGCAGTCTGTTGAAATGGATGAAGGTGATTTTTGTTAGTCTCTAAACTGAACCCGAAACCCTAAACCCTAAACCTGAAACTTTTATGCATGAGTAATAACTGTACTGTGGGCGTTTGATATGAATCATTTAGGTAGGCCTAATGTGGATGAGTACTCATATCACCAGCAAAGAGATGAACTACTACTTGAAACGACTCCATCTCCAGAGGTAAATTTTGAAGGCATGCAGCCCAAAATGTTCTACGTGTGTGTGTATGTGTGTGTATTATATATATCGTCATTTTCCGATATCGACTTGTTTGGCAGGAAGAAGAGGAAAGGACAGGGATAACTGAAGAGGAAAAGAAACCTTCAGAAAAAGATGTAAGCTTTCTCTTCTTGCATGCATAAATTTTGTACGAATAATTATAACAAAATAAGTTTGAGCAATGCTTTCTCTATATATATACAGATGGACTTGGAGCTCTTGGATGAAGACATAAGGTTATGGTCGGCTGGCAAGGAATCCAACATTCGTATGCTGCTTTCGACACTACACCATGTAAGTAAAAATCTTGAGGTTTACTTCGACGAATACTGCTTGGCTTCTTAGCGACAAAGATTTTATTTCTCCCTCCATGCAAATACGTAACTTATTGAAAGCACATAAGTTTTTTCATGCGATCGAATGTGATTGGTCTGCAAGGAGGATCAAGTTCGCATAATTAATGTTACATGGTTTGTTTTGGTTTTATGTGGTGTTGGCTGGTGATCAGATTGTATGGCCCAAGAGTGGATGGTATGCAGTTCCTTTGACAAGCCTAATAGAAAGTTCACAGGTGAAGAAAGCGTATCAGAAAGCAAGGCTGTGCCTCCATCCAGACAAACTGCAACAAAGAGGAGCAACACCTGCTCAAAAATATATTGCTGAAAGGGCCTTCGCCATCCTCCAGGTAAATAAATGTTTTTGTTATCTATGGGGAATTATTATTGACACTACAAAGGAAGTCGTCACACCTTCCTATGTACTTCATGAAAAGCAATAAAGTTCCATTGCATTCCAAATTACTAAACCTAATGATTAACAAAGAATTTAGGGCTTCTTTGGAAGTGTTTTTAAAATGATTGAAAACTCTTTAAGAGAAAATACTTTTAAGTTCCAAAAGTGCTTGAAGGGCTTCCTGGAAGAAGCACCAAGAAGCACTTTAAGTGTTTTTACAAGATTTACTTGTGTTTTTACTAAGGATTTGTTCCAAAAACATTTTCATCAAAAACAATTTCAATCATTTAAAAAACTTCCAAAAAGTTATGAATTAATTAACTCCAATCATTCTGACAAGTAATTAATGATGTGGAATTGTAGGATGCATGGGCCGTGTTTATCTCCCAAGATGTATTCAATATTTAGTGGATGTGTGAATTATTCTTGCCTTTTGAACTCATTTTTTGACTCCAAGGTTGCAAGTGAAGAATAAGCATATGAACAACTTTGTAAGATAGCTCGACTAGTATTCTTGTGGAAATATGTACATTAGTTTGCTCGATTAACTGTGCTTGGTTTTTTTATCTGTATATTTATTTTCGAGTGTTGAAACAAAATTTTTAGAATATAATTTTGAATCCTAAACAGTCCCCTTGTATCTGTATATTTTATTTTTGAGTGTAGAAACAAAACTTTTGGAATATAATTTTGAATCCTAAACGGCCCCTTTTGACTTTCATTCAAACTCCAGTCTGTAACGGAGGTTAAGACATGTTGAGAAAATCGCACTCCTATTCAATTTTCTTCAACAGCAGACGGACCATGTTTATAACTACACACGAATCCCCCTGTATGGAGGAATGAGCTATTTGACATGAGTACACCGCTACTAACGTATGCGCATGCATTGTGGTGGTTGGCCGGCGGGCATTTTACTCCGTTTGTGTAACACCATTTTCTCATAGCCTTAGGTGATGTCGTCATGTCCCTTTTCCCTTAATTTTCTACCTATTCTGCATGCCATTTTCGTTCGGTACTCTAAGAGGCAATGCAAACAGTACGAGCATCCTCCCAACAGCCGAAATCAGAGATGAAAGTCACTACTAGCTTCACTCTTGAAGCCTAGCGAATACGATCCAATTACATCAATTGACCAGAATCCGGCGGAGTTATGTGTGGTGTCTTCAATTACTCCAGAGTTTAATGTACACAATGAAGGATGTGTGTCAATTTTACTAAACGAAATGTAGTCTACGGGAAATTTTTTGGAAAAGAAAACGAAATGGTTGAAAGAATATGACGAAGAAAATGGACTCGTCCCTCGTATTACAGGGACAATGAAGTTCAATAACTGAACTTCAACACATTATTAAGTCAATATGGTGCAGATATTCTCCATCATTTGGTTCTTGTAATGACTACCTGGGTGAGATCTAGGAGTGCCCTCCTTGATTTTCTGACATTCTCGTCTTCGCTCTCGGGCAGAGATTCGATTGCTGCTGCAGCAAGGTTTGCATGTTTTGTGGCTAGCTCCCTTGTCATATAACAAGAATTGAATTGAAAACCAATAAACCAATAACAAGAATTGAATCTAATAAAACTGAGATGACTGCATTAAACTATTTATACTTGCTTAAATACCGTTTCTATTTTCTGTTTTTCACCTCTCGTTAATGAAATTTCATGAACAATATTCGTTAAGTGTTGGACATTTAATGAGAGGCGAAAAATATAAAACAGAAACATTTTTCAAAGCTGGATGGCAGAAACGGGTTTAGACGGGAGTTTTCTTTGGAACAATGCCAAAGTAGCCCAGACCGGCACTTAATGAAACAATGCAAACTTACGAGTTCAATATTTGCAGGGTTGTTATCAAGGCCCTGTTCAACAACTGTACGCAACTGAGGAAACTCTTCCATGGCAAACAATATTGGAGCAGTTATGATGCCCTACAAAACGATTATATGGTTCAAAAAATTATGACAATAACCGAAAAAGTAAGTGGGCTCTTAATCATGAAAGTTGAAAACATAGCAGCATGGGATTAGAATAGTTGAGGATTTCTCTCAACTTACTATGAATTGAAAAGTGAGACTTGGTTTCAACACGCTAAACAGAGAAATGCTGGCCATGAACTACATAATTTCTTAAGGTCAAGTATACCGTGCATTTTTTTCATAGCAAATGCAAGCAAGCTTGTTGAGCATGCCAATATGGAAAGAAACGAAAGAATGAAAATAAAAAAATGAACTGTGTTATAGGAAAATTAGAGCAACCAAAACCAACTTTGAGGCTGACAGACGCAGATAATACTCTCACTTTAAGCTACCAAACTCAGCCATGAGATGCACCTAGATCAGTAACGGACAAGAGAGACAAATCTCATGTGTTCAAACATAGAAATATCCCATTACCAACCAACACTTACATGGCGGATGTCAGATAAAGAGCCCTTTCCAAGTGAAGCTGATGTGCCCATAAAATCAAGAACGTCATCTATTAATTGAAATGCCAATCCCTGAGGGAAAAAAATTAGTCAGCTTGATACACATGCAAGCACATTGACTCATCAATCCTACATGCATGTAAAAAAACCATCAGAAAGTGTCCATTGTTTGAGCTCTAGCAGGAAAGTTATATAATTATTGTTATCATTATTTTTATTTCTCTATATGTGCTTCTGTTTGGAACCTGACCATTAAACTCATAAAAATATCTTAGAATTAAGCTTGCTCGTCAAGAATATTAGACAAAAGAATTTCAAGAGTTTACAAACCAGATTTTTTCCATACTCATAAGCCAACATAGCAACTTCGGTTGTATGCCCAGCAAGAATGGCAATTGCTTTGCAACTATTTGAAATCAATGATGCAGTCTTGTAATAAGTCTTTTGTATATAATATTCCATGCTGCAATGAATACCAAATTTTATCATAATTAGAATACCTTAAATCTTAAAGAAACCCTAATCAAGATATCAAATAACAAAAAAACTGTGCGCTTATTTACATAATATCAACAATGATTTGCTCACATACAACTAATTGAAGCTTTTGAAAATGGAAGATTTGAGTATTTTGAGTATGAGTTATGCATGCGTAATTTGTTTCTCACATTTCGTTGAAAGTTGTAACAACCCCCAACTTGTTTCTTCTATATATAATCCCCAATTCCCATCCCTACGTGGCATTATTAAAGAAATACTCTATGTAAAAAAAGAGATATAAAGACGAGCCCTATCATATACAAGACGAGACAAGCCAAATCCCAACCTAATAAATACTTTTATAACATAGTAGTTTACTAACTAAAACAAAAATGTACACATATGACAGAAGCAGCAGAGCAGTGTACCTACAACGTTGATCAGATGTGGTAGTCATTTGCATGGTTTCACCTGTCACAAGATGCTCAACAACTGTTGACAGTAATGATACAACCTACAAATGCACAAAAATGATGCAAAAATATGTTAAAAAAACTAAAGTGAAAGCACATCCTTCTGTCTGTGATACTTGGGAATATAACTATGAATAGGTATGGGATCCAGGTCCTGACTTGCTAAAATTTCAGGCAGATCACCTTCATACTTTACTGATGGATGATGATGGTGATGAATGATGATTTTCATGTTTGGTGATGAAAAAATTGATTCGGTAGTTTATCCACAAGAGTAAAAGTGCACAAGAAGGAAGGGGGAGGCAAAAATAAAATTAACTGACTTGCTTGACAAGATAAGGAGCTGGCACATTTGATTGAATAAAATCCATCTGGGGTTTTGCTCTCTTGTATTACTTGGTTGGCCTTAAGAATACTTTATTTTTGCTCCATCATCCTTCATAGTAGCATACATGACATGGAACATTGCAACGTGCTCAAAGTAATAAGTAGGTGCTTGGCAGTGGACCCAGAAGATAGTATGGACCCTGGTAATATACCATTGCAAAGTGAACCCCAAATCCCTGTCATGAAGAGACTTACAACACTCCCTCCCCAACCCCACCCCTCTGCAGCCTGACCCCACCAAAGAAACTTTCTAGTCAAGATGCATTAAATATAATTAACACACTTTTGATATGAGGATGAAATACAACTACTCTAATAGGGTCCCAGCACAGCATATCGAATATGTGGACTTTTGTGGCCAAGTCTCTCACATCCCTAATACTATAAACAAGATGAGCCAGAAAGCATGAAATATACTCCCACGTGCTATTTGCTCATCTCAGTACACTAGTGCATAATAATTCATTCGTACCTCTGTGTTTCTCAAGGAGGCAAGTGCGACACAGGCTCGGGAAAGCAGAAAATCCCCTGCTAAAACAGCTAACTGCATTCAATAATGGAAAGAAGAGTAACTATCATATCATATTTCATAACTCTGTATGTTCCCAATGCAGAATCATTAGTAATAACGGAAAGAAAAAATGGGAAAAATTGATATAATACGGCACTTCCATCTCACATTCTATTAAAATGTTCAATACTTGGCAAGAATTAATATCATTCAGCGGGAGGGGTATCAGCAGCAGCCATGTACGGTAACTATCCACATAGGGTGGAAAGTAATGAACAAATTATTTAGCCACCCTTCCCCAGTCCCTTTTAGGCATCAAAATAAGCTCTAATAGGAACATATCATGTTGTCCCGTGTTGCATAAAAATAGGGGTTAGTAGGAAATACACTGTTCCTTCATGTTCTAAGCCTTTATCGTATTAATTGTTTGATTTTCATCCAACGACTAGAACATGATACATGCCTTGTTTAAATACTTAATGTGATGCATATGGAAACTCTCTGAAACTCCAACAAACACATTCATCCCTATACTTTTGATTAAAATATAAATAACTTTTGAAAGGATAAGAAGAGAAGCGTCAAAATAAATTATATTCTTATAAGCAAAAAGGCAATTTGACCAATTTAAAGGAACCAAAAGCACACCTTATTTCCCATTATACAATTTAATGAACCAACACCACGCCTTGTGTCTGCATCATCCAATACATCATCATGTAGAAGGCTTGCCACCTGCCAAATGAAATAATTACGTTAGAAGCTTTTTTACGCTTCAAATCCTGAGAGAAATATCATATCCTCAATGTCAACAATTTACTCATGAAGCATTATAAGACATTTCATTCCTATCAAGTGTAACTAGATTCTTAATAGAAATTTACTGATAAGTACATGCTGTAGATAAGTTGCAGGGGTGGAAAGGTAAGATAATACATGTAATGCTTATGCCACAAATTTTGGAGGAAAAAGGAGTTATAATTCAAGCAAATGCACCTCAGAGAGAATTTTAAACAAGCCATTAAAAAACAGTTTTGGAACAACACAAATAAATTGGTCTAGGGAATCCTACAGGCAATGTATATTATTAGTACATTAGAAATGATATTTTTCCAATAATATGTAGCATACAATAAAATAAAGCGATAGCAACAAAATCATTAAGAATGATACAACTAACATGAATCATCTCTGTCACTTCTGCTATACATTGTTGCCTTGCGCGTAGCTCTGTTGACAAAGCCTCTTGCAGTTCCGTAGGAGGTTCAGGTACAGTGATATTCAAAGCGGTTGACATCAACAATAAGACCTGCATATAGAAATAATAGAATAAATCTACTGAGCAACTTTTAACCTTGACGACAATCATAATTCTTGAAAATACAAGGTTGGAATGACGAGTTACATATATATTCCACTGACTTCTCCAAACAGCATGATGTGCAAATATTGAATTTAGAGACGGAAGGCAAATTACTAAATGATATATACAAGAAAATATCCAGTATACAGCATCGTTGCGAAACAGAGAAAGTGAAATAATGAATTGGATTAGTACTAATATATTACCGTGGGACGAAACCTCTTTCCTTCCACTCCCATTTTAAAGAAGTACTCAGCAGCAGAGGCAAGCTTAGGGACCTGTGAATAGAAAACAAATCTGATCTATGATCATATGATATAACATTTGAATCTTACGAGACCATTAGGATCAAATCTCAGTTTCTAACATGTATGTCCTCAGAGTAATATCAATTAAATCCAACGAGACAGAAAATAGATATACCTCAGCAACTACCATTGCCCGCAACCTGTTTGCAATAATCGACAGCTCATCGGAAACAAGCGAGAATGGGTCAAGCGGTTCCTGCAAGGCAGTATGTAAGCACGTTATAGAGGTGGACAAACAAAATTATCTATTACAAAGAAAACTAAAGTCCCTAAGAGAAGGGTACATGAAATTTTGAGCCTTGACTACGACGACAAGTTAAACTTACTCCCATCTTTGCATTTGAGCCATAAGCAACAATAAACAACTCGTACATTTTGATCCAGAGGCTGATCTCACATAAACAAACTAAAAACAAACGAACGAACACTCGGGTATCTCGAAATTTTCGTGCTTTCATACATTTGGCATTGAAATATCAAATGAGCATGTGGGAAAACAAAAAAATAACCAAAAATGTGAATACCCAAAAACCTCACCTCAACCATGGAGCTGCTTTGATGGTGAATTTGGTGCCTGGAACCATAGAAAACCAGCGGCAATCCCCACGAAATAAATTCTCTGCAACCCATAATCTACCAACACACAACCAATCAAAACCCTGAAACATAACATAATACAAACACATTCACAAAACTTTCAATCTCTAAGAGATTTATAGAGCAAAATTACCTTCTGGGTCGAATCACTCAGCAATTGAGAGTAAGCGCTGGCGGCGACGAACTGTTGCGGGTCCCGGCGATGGGAAAGCAAACACCGACACAACCCATTGAAGCTGCTTCTTTGAATCCGAGAAAATCCCCGAGAAAATAACATACTTTTTCCTTTGCTTCTCTCTCAATAAAACTGATAGCGATTTAAAGGAACGAACTTTAACAGAGAGGGAGGGAGATTCAGAGTGGGTTTTGGGAGGTTGGGAGAGGAGGGTCAAAGTGGAAGAAGAAGAAGGAAATAAGAGGGGTTATGTGTAAGCGCCACAGCCATGTTCTCTCTCTCTAAAGAAGCAAGGAAAATGACGAAATGACGACGGCCAAACGCAGAGGCAGCCATGTACTAAAAACGCGCACTCTCGCTTTCTAATTGCCACTTGAGGGTTTGGTCATACATAATTGCTAAATAATTGAATATTTCTTTGGAGGTTTTAAGTGCTAATTCAGCAAAAATTGCAATTATTTTTAAAGGATTGTATCAGGGTTTAAGGAAAAGGGTTATAGAAGGGTTGTTTACATAAATAGCAACTAATGAAAATAACTTCAAAACGTTAAATTTTAACCAAGAGCATTTTAATAATTTTATTTAATGGTTAGGACAAAATTCTTTCATTTTCTTTTTTCCAATTATAGATTCTTCGTAAATCTCTTATATGGTTACGAATTCACACAAAGTTAAAGGTCATGAGTTCGTATCGACACCCTCTTTCTTGTAATACAAGAACCACACTTTGAAATTCAATGTTTAGGGAGATCAAGCTCTTCAAAAGTGGTGTTTTTCGGTTATTTTTGCCTATTTTTTACTAATATGACGTAATTGGATCTCAACCCAAGAGAGAAGTTTAATCCTCTCCTCATGGGTTTTCTTTCCATGTAGGTGCTTCCTCATAATTGATACTTTTAGATTTTATTCTAGAAATAGTGGCAATAGTGTTCAGTTATAAAAATAGTGACAATGTGTAGTTCTATAAATAGTGGCCAGTCCAATTCTATAAATAGTTGTAGTGGCAATGTTCAGTTCTAGAAATGATTGCAGTGGTGTGACATCCCACATCGCTCATGGGAGTGATCCTTATATGTATATTCCCATCCCTACCTAGCACGAGGCCTTTTGGGAGCTCACTGGCTTCGGGTTCCATGGGAACTCCGAAGTTAAGCGAGTAGCGCGCGAGAGCATTCTCAGGATGGGTGACCCATCGGGAAGTTCTCTTGTGAGTTTCCAGAAACAAAACCGTGAGGGCGTGGTCGGGGCCCAAAGCGGACAATATCGTGCTATGGTGGTGGAGCGGGCCCGGGAAGTGGTCCGTCCCGGGCGGGGATGTGACAATTTGGTATCAGAGCCTAACCATGGTCGCATGTGTGCCGATGAGGACGTCGGGCCCTTAAGGGGGATGGATTGTGACATCCCACATCGCTCATGGGAGTGATCCTTATATGCATATTCCCATCCCTACCTAGCACGAGGCCTTTTGGGAGCTCACTGGCTTCGGGTTTCATGAGAACTCCGAAGTTAAGCGAGTAGCGCGCGATAGCATTCCCAGGATGGGTGACCCATCGGGAAGTTCTCGTGTGAGTTCCCAGAAACAAAACCGTGAGGGCGTGGTCGAGGCCCAAAGCGGACAATATCGTGCTATGGTGGTAGAGTGGGCCCGGGAAGTGGTCCCGCCCGGGCCGAGATGTGACAAGTGGTAATGTTCAGTTCTAGAAATGGTTGTTGTGACAGTGTTCAGTTCTAGAAATGGTTGCAATGACAGTGTTCAGGTCAAGAAAATAGTTGGAGTGTTTAGTTCTATATTGGCAGTGTTTAGTTTTAGAAATAGTGACATTGTTTAGTTGTAGGAATAGCGAATTTGCTCACTTCTAGAAATAGTTACAGCAGTTTGGAGAAGCCCTTCTCATCGAAACTTTGTGTCATTTTCATTAAATGAAGTTATTACTATGACTCGTGATCGATTTCCATTACTCCGCAAAAGTCAATCGAAAAGTTCGATTTTCAATTACTAGCTACTCAAAACGTGTATAGCTTTTGGTTAGTTGCTACCAACTGCTAAGACTCGTGCGAAAAGAAATCAGATATTTTGAGGATTTTCAGTTTCTCGCTACTAAACCGTTGTACAATTTTCCACTTGTTACTATTGAATGCGCAGACTCATGACGATCCCAGTAAACATGAATAAAATTTTAGCAAATGCCTTCATTATAATAACAAGCGATGTCAAGAAGGGAGAATCAAACACATTATCTTAGGTGCATGATAACTGCTCTTAACCAAACGATTTACAGAAGAAACTATATATTTGAGATAACCTTGTACAATAAAATGTACAGAGTCGGAAACTTAATAGCAAACAAAGAAAGTGAGAGATTAAATTGGCAGTGCTCAGTGCTCATCCCCCACCCCCTAATTCCCTGAGCAGCTCCCTAAACTCCTCATCAGTGCTCTTAAGCATCAATGGCAAAGGCACTTCCACTCCCCTCTCCACAACCTCCATGTGGCTTGGCCTTATCCTCTTCTCCAAACTAAACGTAAAATGATGTGGAAACCCTTCAACTCCTCCAAACCTTTCCCCATCTCTACCGAAAAGTACTCGAATTTTGGCTTGAAGTTGTTCTTAATGCTGAAGGTCAGCAATCCAGGGCACCTCAGCACCATCCCCAGAGTCTCCTCCCTTAGGAATCCCAGACCCTCCAAGTACTCCAACTTGGGAACTAATGTCCTCTCCACATTGGAAACCAGCAGCACAGGGTCATGGTAGGGCAGGGCAATTAGGTCGTTGAACCGAAGTCTCTGGAGGTAAAGAAGTGCTGGTCTGAGCTGGTCTTTCCCACTTGAAGTAAGCAATCTAGTAGGAAGGAGCTAATCTTGAGTTGGATTGAAAAACTACCACGAGTGGATGAAAATCTAGAAGGAAACAATTCCCGCACATCATTTTGTCCCCAAGCACGCCCATGTTTATTTCTCAGTGTTTTAAAAGGCTCGCCTCGGGGCGCTAGGCGCCTGAGGTGGCGGTAGCTTGCAGCCTTGAAGGCTGGACGGGTAACTTGCCGCATTTGCTTGACATTTATTATCCCACTATCTTTTTTTTATTGACCTTTCTTTTTTTTTATATTATTTATTAGATAGATAGATAAGCATCTTTTTGTTTCTTTTTGTGTTTATTATTTATAGATAAGCATAATTTTATGGATATTCTCATAACATTCCAACAAAATTCAGCCTTTATTCCCTATAATTGCTACACTCAACATTTATTTCCTTTGAATTGCCTGTAAGTGCAAAATCTAGCCTTTATTTTCATTGAAATTCCCTATAATTGTGGCCACTTAGTCTTATTTAGTCTTATTTCTCTTGAAGTTCTCTATAATTGGTTACAATAAAATAAAATAATTACAACATTTTAAGACTATATGACATAGTTTCTAAGTAATGAAGAAGATGTTCTTATATTTGATTTAGTTATAATTATATTTGTTTTACAAGGTATTATATTTTATAAATATAATTATATATATAATATATAATAAAATCTTAGGTACCATGAGGCTTCGCCTCATGCCTCAAACCTCACGCCTAGACGGGACTATCCATAAGATGCCTCACCTTCGCCTTTTAATACATTGCTCTGGAAGAATCAAGAAGGGGCGTCCCTTTTCTTGGTTCCTGTAATGACTACCTGGGTGAGATCTATGAGTGCCGTCCTCGATTTTCTGACATTCTCGTCTTCGCTCTTGGGCAGAGATTTGATTGCTGCTGCGGCAAGGTTTGCATGTTTTGTGGCTAGTTCCCTTGTCTTATGTATCCCACGGCTCCTACCGAGGTAGTTGAGAGCCTGTAGAAATATACCATGAAAACCAATAATAATAATAATTGAATCTAATAAAACTGTGACAACTGCATTAAACTATTTATATTCACTTAAAAAAAAAAAAAAAAAAAAAAAAAAACTGTTTCTACTTTCTGTTGTTCACCTCTCATTGATGAAATTTCATGAACAATATTGGTTAGAGTCGGACATTTAGTGAGAGGCTAAACAGAGAAAACAGAAACATTTTCTAAAGATGACAGAAACATTTAGACGGGCATTTTCTTTGAAACAATGCCAAAGTGGCCCAGACCGGCACTTAATGAAACAATACATACTTACGAGTTCAATATTTGCAGGGTTGTTATCAAGGCCCTGTTCAACAACTGTACGCAACTGAGGAAACTCTTCCATGGCAAACAACATTGGAGCAGTTACAATGCCCTACAAAACGATTATATGGTTGCAAAAAATTATGACGAATGAGTCGAAAACATAGCGGCATGGGATTAGAATACTTGAGGATCTCTCTCAATTTACAATGAATTGAAATATCCCATTATCAATCAACACTTACATGGCGGATGTCAGATAAAGATGCCTTTCCAAGTGAAGCTGATGTGCCCGTAAAATCAAGGACATCATCTATTAATTGAAATGCCAATCCCTGAGAGAAAAAAATTAGTCAGCTTGATACACACGCATGCACATCGACCCATCAATCCATACATGCACGTAAAAAAACCATCAAAAAGTATCCATTGTTTGAGCTCTAGCAGGAAAGTCATATAATTATTGTTGTCATTATTTTTTCTTTCTCTATGTGCGCTTCTGTTTGGAACATGAATATTAAACATCTTAGAGTTCCAAGAATATTAGACAAAAGAATTCCAAGAGTTTACGAACCAGATTTTTTCCATAGTCATAAGCCAACGCAACAACTTCGGATTGATGCCCAGCTAGAACGGCAACTGATTTGCAACTATTTGAAATCAGTGATGCAGTCTTGTAATAAGTCTTTTGCATATAATATTCCATGCTACAATGAATACCAAATTTTCTCATAATTAGAAAAACTTAAATCTTAAGGAAACCCGAAACAAGACATCATAAGAAAAAAAAAATGCGTGTAAATACATAACATCAACAATGATTTTCCCACACTCCACTAATTGAAGCTTCTGAAAATGGAAGACTGAGAATTTCGAGTATGAGTTATGCATGCCTAGTTTGTTTCTCACACTTCCGTCTCCTTCACGACAGCACACTTCGTTGTAAGTTGTAAGGACATCTCAAACCGAAGGAGGATCAGAGGGCTTCCTTTAGCCCTATAGCCTTTTAAGAAATTAATATTTTAATAAACAGTGCTATGTCATATTTCTTACCATCTCCAACCGAGGGGCCAAAGGGTCATATAGCCCTATGACAAAAATCCATTTCCAACCGACGGTGCCAAAGGGTCATAGGCTAAACATAATTTATTATTTCAATTTAAAGACTACAACAACTTAAATTTAAAAATTATGTGAGAAATGGTGTATTAATGACTTAGGTATTTATAGGTAAAAATGGGAATTTTTAAATAATTTTTTTTGAAATTTTGCCTAGAAAAAAAAAATTTCAAATCCAACGGTCACCTGCCGTCATCTTGACTCCAGGTAGCCGTTGGGGTTCAAAAAATGGGCTGGTTGGCTGGCTCCTTTAGGCCAGCTGGTTGGCTGAATTTGGTGTTTTTGGTCGGTGGGGCTCACGAGCCCTCTGGCTTAGCCCTTAGTTGGAGACGGTTTTCATGTCATTTTGGGCTATTTTTAGCCCTATGGCTCTTTGGCCGGATCGGTTAGAGATGCCCTTAGGCCATCTCCAACCAAGGGCTGGCTAGATGACTCGTTTTAGCCATCTGGCCATCCAAGAAATTAATATTTTAATGAACAGTACGGGACCATATTTGCCTCCGTCTTCAACCAAGAGCCATAGGGCTTGTTTTAGTCTTGTCACAAAAAATCGTCTCCAACTGAGGACCAAAGGGCCATAGGGCCAAACATAATTTATTATTTAAAAACTACAACTTAAATTCAAATACAACGCCTAAGTGACGTCAGCTAGCCGTTGGATTTGAACTTTTCTTTTAATGTTGTTTCATGTTACTTAATTTAATTTAATGTTGTATAATGGCTTAGGAAGTTATAGGAAAAAATATATAATTTAAAAAAAATATGAAACAAATTTTGTGAAATAGAAGTTATAGGAAAAAAATAGAATTTAAAATAAAATGAAACAAATTTTGTAAAATAGAAGTTATAGGAAAAATTTTGTAAATAAAAAATAATAAAAAACTGTAAAAAAAAAAATAAATAAATCAAATGCAACGGCTAGCTGACGTCAGCTAGCCGTTGCATTTGAATTTTAGCTTAAGGATTCCTATCGGTTATAACCGACAAGAATATGAATTTTCTAGCCAGCCCTTTCAGATTCCGTGGGGCCCTCTCAGATTCCACGAGCCATCTGGTCTAGCCCTCGGTTGGAGACGGTTTTGCGGGCTATTTTCGAGCCTTTGGCCCTCTGACCCTCTGACCCTTCGGTTGGAGATGACCTAACTACCCCAACTTGTTTCTTCTCTATATAATCCGCTTCGCATCCCTATATAGCATTATTCAAGAAATACTTTTATGTTAAAAAGAGCTATAAAGATAAGCCTTACCATATACAAGCCAAGGCAAGACAAGCCAAATCCCAACCTAATAATGCCACGCCTATAGCTATTATTTTATAACATAAAGTAGTTTACTACGTCAAACAAAAAATGTACACATGACAGAAGCAGCAGAGCAGCGTACCTAAAGCGTTGATCAGATGTGGTAGTCATTTGCATGGTTTCACCTGTCACAAGATGCTCAACCACCCTTGACATTAATAATACAACCTACAAATGCACAAAAATGATACAAAAACATGTTAAAACAACTTGCGTGAACCCACATTCTACTGTTTGTGATACTTGGGATCACAGCTATGAATATGTATGGGAACCCTGTCCTGACTTGCTGAAATTTCGGGCAGATCACTTTTATACTTCACTGGTGGATGATAATTGTGATGATTGTCAGAGTGTAAGTGCACAAGAAGGAAGGGGGAGGCAAAAACAAAACTAACTCGCTTGATAAGATAAGGAGCTGGAAATTTTGATTGAATAAAATATATCCGGGGTTTTGCTCTCTCGTATTTGGTCTTAAGATACTTTATTTTTACTCCGTCATCCTTCATTGTAATTTGTAGCTTAAATGACATGGAACATTTAAATGTGCTAAAAGTAATAAGCCATTACAAAGCCCCAAATCCCTGTCATTAAGGGACTTAGAGCACTTCCAATGTACGAAGATCTCTTGGGCAATAGGAAATTTAATCCTTTTAAATGAATAGTAACTGCTCAAGTGCATCTTCATCCCTAAACTTAATAGCCCAAACAATTCATATTAAAATATTAGCATTTTTTTATTTTATAAAATAATAAAAGAGAATTTTATTTTTAATTTCGGATAATATTAATACAAGATTGGTTAAAACTATTCGAAAATATTGAAATGTAGTTTTTTTATAATTTCTATAATTCTTTAATAATTTAAATTGTGGATGACGTCATATAAGCAAGGTGTTGGGTTAGACAATTATTGCTTGACTCCTCCATCGGGTTTGACCTGGGTCCAATTGCCCGAGGGGGCTGCGGTGCTATTGCTCATCTCAGTACACTAGTGCATAATAATTCATCCGTACCTCTGTGCTTCTCAAGGAGGCAAGTGCGACACAGGCTCGGGAAAGCAGAAAATCCCCTGCTAAAACAGCCAACTGCATTCAACGATAGAAAGAAGAGTAACTATCATATAATACAAAACCCTTTCCTAACTCTGTATGTTCCCAGTGCAGAATCATTATAAATACCGGAAAGAAAACAAGGGAAAATATTGACCAATTTAAAGGAACCAAAAGCACACCTTATTTCCCATTTCACGATTTACTGAACCAACACCACGCCTTGTGTCTGCATCGTCCAATACATCATCGTGTAGAAGGCTTGCCACCTGATAGGCAATGAACGTTATTAGTACATTTGAAATGATATTTTTCTAATATTACGTAGTATATAATAAAATAAAGCGACAGCAACAAGATCATTAGCAAAGATATAACGAACATGAAACATCTCTGTGATTTCTGCTATACGTTGTTGCCTTGCGCGTAGATCTGTTGACAAAGCCTCTTGCAGCTCCGTAGGAGGTTCAGGTACAGTTATATGCATTGCGCGTAGCTCTGTTGACAAAGCCTCTTGCAGCTCCGTAGGAGGTTCAGGTACAGTGATATTCAACGCGGTTGACATCAGCAATAAGACCTGCATGTAGAATAAACCTATTGAGCAACTTTTAACCTTGACGACAATCACAAGAAAATACAAGGTTGGGATTAAATGTCCGTTTATATTACCGTGGAACGAAACCTCTTTCCTTCCACTCCCATTTTAAAGAAGTACTCGGCAGCGAAGCTAAGCTTAGGGACCTGGGAATAAAAAACAAATCTGATCTGTGATCATATGATATAACATTTGAATCTTACAGAACCATTAGGATTAAATCTCCGTTCTAACATGTACGTCCTTAGAGTAATGTCGATTAAATCCAAGAAGACAGAAAATACATATACCTCAGAAACTACCATCGCCCGCAACCTGTTAGCAATAATCGACAGCTCATCGGAAACAAGTGAGGATGGGTCAAGCGGTTCCTGCAAAGCAGTATGTAAGCACATTAGTAGAGGTGGACAAACAAAATTATATATTACAAAAGAAAACTGAAGTCCCTAAGAGAAGGGTACATGAAATATTGAGCCGTGACAATGACGACAAGTTAAACTTACTCCCATCTTCTCTCTCAATAGAACTGAGTGTAATTTAAAGAGAACAACTTTAAGAGAGAGAGAGAGAGATTCAGAGTGGGTTTTGGGGGGTTGGGAGAGGAGGGTCAATGTGGAAGAAAAAGAAGAAGAAGAAGAAGAACGAGTAAGAGAGGACAGAGTGTGGGGATTATGTATAAGCGCAGAGCCAGAGGCATGCAAAAAAGCGCGCATTTTCGCTTTCCAATTGCTACTCAACAAAAATAAGTGGTTAGATCATTTAATTCACACCGTCGCGAAGTAAGAAGATTAAAATACGGAAACGCAGTAGGTTGGACCTGCATGCCGTAACTGTTAGGATAATTCGCGACATGCTAAATTTGTGAACTCTAGATTGATTTTCGATCGACGACAATATTTTTACATTATTACTAATTATTACTAATTAGTATTATGGTCTAGTAGAATTCCTCTTCATTTGTAAGTAAGAGGTCTTAAATTCATTTTTCACCAAAAGCGAATTTGAACTACATTGTCGCTGATTCAATATGAAGCTAAGCCCACCTCTCCTCTTTAGTGTAGATAATATCACTTATTAAAAAAAAATATATATATATATATATATATATTTTACATTAAGAAAAGTTAGATTTTGGGCGAATCACACAATAAGCTAGTTACAACAATGTCGTATTAAATCTTCTTTTCCGTTAAGTGTTCCATAAATAAGTGACTTGTGTTTGGGGTTATTTCAGACATTTCAATACCTGACTTCCATTTAATGAGTTGCCTTTGACAAAAAATAAAATAAAATTATGGTTTCTAAAAGAATCCAAAATAGAGGTTGATCAACCACTCAGTATTACGGTCTGGTGGTATTCCTTTTCACTTGGAAGTGAAAGATCTTAGGTTCAAATCTCGTGAATGGTGAATTCAGTACAAAATTAGATTGCCCATTGTGAGGCATTTTTATGTTAAAATGTCCGAATTAATCCTAAACGCAAGTCATATGATTTATTTTGGATGAAAAAAACTTAACAGAATTAGCGTGAGATAATAAATCTTGAAATCGCAATGGCTTATGATGATGATGGTGCTAGGTACCGAGTACCAACTATTGAGCTTGTATTCAGCATACGCAATCGAATATTTTCGCGCGATTGCTAGCTACCGAACGTCTGCACAATTTTTCGATTTATTGCTACTCATTACTATGACTCATGACGGATTTCCGTTACTCCCTAAAAATCAATCAAATAGTTCAATTTTCAATTGTTAGCTACTCAAAAACGTGTATAGCTTTTGGTTAGTTGCTACCAACTACTAAGACTTGTGCGAAAAGAAATCAAATATTTTGAGGATTTCCAGTTTCTCACTACTAAGTGTTACAGAATTTTTGGGTAATTGTTATTGAATACTGAGACTCACAACGATCCTATTAAACATGTAGTAAAAATTTAGTGAGTACCTTCACTAAATTGACAAGCGATGTCAAGAAGGGAGAATCAAACACATTATCTCGGGTGCATGATAACTGCTCTTAACCAAACGATTTACAAGCTTAGAAGAAACTATATATATGAGATAACCTTGTACAACAAAATGTAGAGAGTCAGAAGAGTGCTCAATGCTCATCCTCCACCCCCTAATTCCCTGAGCAACTCCCTAAACTCCTCATCAGTGCTCTTAAGCATCAATGGCAAAGGCAATTCCACTCCCCTCTCCACAACTTCCATGTGCCTCGGCTTTATCCTCTTCTCCAAACTAAACGTAAAATACTGCGGAAACCCCTTCAATTCCTCCAACCCTTTTCCCATCTCCACCGAAAAGTAGTCGAATTTTGGCTTGAAGTTGTTCTCAATGCTGAAGGTCAGCAGTCCAGGGCACCTCAGCACCATCCCCAGAGTCTCCTCCCTTGGGAATCCCAAACCCTCCAAGTACTCCAGCTTGGGAATCAGTGTCCTCTCCACATTGGAAACCAGCAGCACAGGGTCATGGTAGGCTAGTGCATTTAGGTCTTTGAACCCAAGGCTCTGGAGGTAAAGAAGTGCTGGTTTGAGCTGGTCCTTCACACTTGAAGCAAGCAATCTGGGGCACTTGTTGATGACCCTTCTGAAGTAGCAATCCGGGACTTTTAGGTCTTGGGAGAGGAAGGCGAAAACTGGGTGGAGGTCGGCCTTGATGCTGGAGGTGAGGATGCTGGGGCACATCCCAAAGATCTTGGCCAGGTCCTTTTGGTGGATGCCTTTGGAGTGGAGGAAGGAGATTATGGAGTGGATGGAGTCGAGAGTCGCGGAGTGGAGATTAGGGTTTTGGGAGAGGGCTTTGCCTGCATCGACTCCCATGATTTCAAGGCAGAGGATCTTCTCTTTGAATTGGAGGGAGAGTTTGGTGTGGGTGGGTGTGTAGAGAGGATGCTTGTGGAGCAGGCTTTGGGTTTTGCAGCCAATTGGGTGTCCAAATCAGGAGAAGATGATGGATTGTTAGAAGAGAAGCAGAGAGATGACTGCAGAGCTGCAGCTGCTGAAACTGGCATGGTTTTTTGGAGAGAGCGAGAGAGAGAGGTTTTTCTCTGTTGGAATATCATCAGCGAATGTTTCTAATGGTATTGGCGGAGAAGGAGTCACAGCTGGCAGTTTGGTTGAACCTGATTGGTTGAGGTTGGATTTCAAAGATTTGTTTGGGGATTAAATCCAGACCAGACCACCATGGAAACAGAGTGAAAGTGAGCTATGGAGACGGATTTCAAACTACAACGGGTGGATGAAAATATAAAAGGAAAGAATTTCCGCACACCATTTTTTCAGAACCGGATCCCTTATGGACTTAAAGGAACTAAGCTCAATGATCAAATGATCCGGATCATTAAAATTTGATCAAACGGTTACAAACAGAAAACCCTCTAAAAATTATAATAATTATAACTGTTGGACAAAATTTCAATAGCCCGAATCATTTGATCCTTGAGCACAGTTCATTTGGATCCGGAGGGGATATTATTTCCCATACCTAGCCTCCCCTAATTATTGGTGGTGTTTGAGTTCAACATTTGCAAAGATAACAAAACGCTTCAAAACATCGAAATTGGGACAAACGTGGAATAAAATTTATTCATCGGTCGAGCAGAGGAAGGGTTCCCATCACTGCCCATAAGAAATCTCACTTCACAATATCACAGTTCACCATAATCCGCAGTCTTAAGACGTTATGACAACATTATTAGCAAAATGCAGGAAATTACAAATGTTCAAACATGTCCTATCCGATTGGTCCATCACATCACTGATTTCCTAAATAGTAGTAAACAAAAACCTTCAAAGGGAAGTACAGACAAGCAGTTAACTCCTGCATGAGAATGCATCTAAAATTTGTACCAAAAGAAAAACTCATCTAAAATTCCGGCGATTGTATAAATTACACCACCGTAAAGTGGGGGAATAGGAGGAGCGGCTCCAGTTGCAACTAGTGAAACTTTGCTCTCAATTTCCTTTCAACACTGAATGAGTTTTCTGATCCTGCGAAGAATGCATAAACAGATATATTAAAATACAAGGCGCCATAGAAAACGATTGTTACAGTTTATCTGGGCAGTTGGCACCAACATAACTGTAATAAAACTGTAATGGTTATCCTACTTAACAGTTAGCACCAACAGAAACTGAGTTTCCTAACCACCATATTCGCCCCCTCATGCGTGCCTATGTGTGCTGGTGCGTAGTTATAATCATTTCAGAAACTGTAACTTCTTGATGCAGTATTAGAGAAATATAAAACCAGGTGTTGATAATGAAATATGACTATGAATCCTTTCAAAGGTAGCAAAAGTGCTTCGTTCTAGTGAAACGTTTACCTTTAACTGGAAATACCTCCATTGTTCATCTCAATATTGCCCCTGGCTTCGACTTATAGAGTGGTCGTGAAGGAGTTTCTGGCTAGGGGTTTGGTGATCATCCTGCAGGTACAAATGCAATCAAAGCGTATAGCGCAGCGAGAAGATTTTGTTCAAATGATGAGGTTATTTTCATGCATTCAGCTGACTCATATGAAGCACTTGATTAGCATCAGAGGACGTACAACACCATGCATAAATGTAGGATCTAAAACACAAAAGAAATAGTGTAAAAGAAACTAACCTTGTATAAAGATGCCGCTGACTCGGACTGTAATGTCTGAATAGCATCCTGCCCCAGTGAACGCAGAGCATCAAGGGCATCTAAGGTTAGCTGCCAACCACAAAGTGCAACAGCATCAGCACTGGTACCAGAACCACAGCCACTACCGCCAGCAGCAGCAACATTCCCATTGACCCAGGGGCAGAATTGGTTGTGATGGCCAATTGGATCAAATTCCATAGGTTCTTCATAATTGCTTTCACCTTTTGGAGGTCCTGGATAACCATATAGAGTTAACAAAAAAAATAATAAGAGAACATATATGAATACAAATGAGTAGACCCTTCATTCTCCTTTACAGGTATAACCAAACACAAGTGTAGGAGTTGGTGGATGCAAACTATGCAGCAAAAGTGGGTTTTTTTTTTTTTTTTTTTTTGGGTAGGATGGAGTCATTCACAATATCACATTACAATCTTAAACTGCCGCCCGCAAATATGCCCTTAAAGTCCTAAATCATCATAATACTTAAAACTAAAAATAAGAACGAATAGAAGTCTGTATTCATATTTGTAAACGGTTTTGTTAGAGGAACAGGGAGGTAAGAAGTGGACAAATGTGCATAATCGCCCAAAATGGAAATTTTACCTAGCCCGTTGGCAACAGCATACTCTGATTCTTGGTACACACAATTGTTCGTAAATGAAGATTTGCCAGCATTTTTAACCTCCTTCTTGGTTGTTCTATAATTGGAGAAGACATTAGCATTACATGAAAGAGAAGGGCGGGCACTGTTCTCTAGCTTGAAGCTTTGACTAATCTTTTCACCACTTTCCACAGATTCAGCCTTAGTAGAACCATCAATCTTTGAGCCACTATCAGCCCTCCCCACAGATCGAGACAGCATCTCCTGGCTATCACCATGGGGATCTTCCCTATTTATTTCATCAGGGACAATTTCATCCATTAGTCCAGGATCTGGGGCAGATTCACCTGTCTGGCCCTGATTTTCAGCATCTTCTGTTCTAGGTTCCACATCGCCAACTACACTATCTGCTCTATGGACAGATACATCAGCACCATGAATCTCTGCTTCATGACTAGCACACATTCCGACACTTCCGCCACTAATCCCGAAACTAATACCATCCCTGGCCTGAGCAGTCACAGTTTCTGTGTTAAAAATTTCCTCCCCATCATTTGTACTACTAACACCCATTTCCCCAAGAACTGCATCAGCTACAGGTTGAAAACCAACGCTCTGCTGAGCTTGATTACTGTAATTCAATTCTGATGTATCATTCATGTCCAGATTTCCATATGTACTAGAAGTGGGGAAATGAACATCATCAACATCTCCTGGATAATTTTCAACACTTTCCATAGAGTCGTCATCTGTGCCATGACAAATTGTATCCATTGCAATGACTGAAGATGCACGTGCTGAATCGATATTTGAATGGATTCCAAATTGGTCGCTACCTTGCGGAAACGAAGCAACTCTATTAGCATCAGCATAAATATCAATACCCATTGAATGACTGGGACCAGCACCAGAGGAACAGTATGTATCGAACATATCTGAATCACGAGCACGTTTTGAAGGCCCAGCTGAGTATTGTCCGCCATCTGTAACTTCATCACCATCACGATCAATGACAGTTCCTTCAACACTATCAGTGTGCTGCGTCCTTAAATGAGGCCTATCAACAGAACTGCCTCCTATTTCCAAACTCCGCTTACGAGAACTGGGACCCCTTGATTCATATGAAGCTGCTCGATCACCAACCTCGCTGCCTGCAGGTTGCCCAATCATCAGATCCCTCCCCATATCTCCATCCTGAATGTTTTCAGACATTTCTGGTCTGCCAAACCGATTAAAAGTAAAACCCCCTCCCATTGTAAGATTCAAATCAACATCTGTTTTCCCCTCAGTTGTTGTTGCTACTTCATCACGGTCTTCAGTTTGGTCTTTCTCAGCATCATCAGCAGAAACCCAACCACTAATTCCACTGGCTGCACTTGCGCCACGTGTAAATCCCAATTTTTTGCTTGTGTCGGGAAGATCAATGTTATTGGGAGTAAATCGCGTAGGTCGAGGAATGGTTAAGAAATCCAATATTCTAACTGTAGCCCCACATAAGCTGCAATCTAGTAAAGGTGATCTGGGATCACGTCTAGATTCCTTAACCAACACTTTACTCTTTCCAGCATCTTTTCTAGCAGAAGCAGAGACTGCTTTCTTGCTTGGTCCAGGTTCTTGTGAAAGATGGACCTGGGCATACGTCGGCCCAAGAGAATATCCATTTCTAGCTGATTGAGCAGAATGTTCTTCACAGTCTTGCACATTTAAAAGCCATCTTGGTTCCCATCCACAAAGACTTATAAGCTTCTGAGCCTGATAATGGAAAGGTACTGGGTTAGAAGAACATATGCTTCAGTAATTTGACCAATACAACAAACCACCAACAGGGAGAAGTTTATAATTAACTCTTACACGAGAATATAAACAGATTGATCCATCTCGGGAGCTTTCCTGTTCTGGTATACTTTCTGGTTTAAAGTCTACTTCCCCTGCCATAAGAAAGCGATCAACCTGCGGACCCCGAGAAACCAACATTTGCTCAATTGCAGATGCAGCTACCTTAGGTAGAGAGTGGAATTGCAAAAGTCCATCACATCTATCCTTGTACCCCCCAATTAAAGCGGACTGAGGGGTAGGAGGGAATTGCACCAGGCTTTCGGGGCAGCTGTTTCCTCTCCAAGGACAAGCAACTTTGTGACCGGAATCCAGCTGCTTTACAAAGGCATCCCCCGCATTTTGAACTTCACATTAAAATGAAAAGGACAGAACAAAAAAAATTAAAAAGTAGGAATAGAAAAGCTTATGCAGATACCATAGAATTCTTAACACAATTTCTGATTATACAAAAAAGAGAAGAAATAGCGTATTCTAAAGCTGAAGGTTAGCATCATTGTACTTTAATTTATAAGAAACAAGAATTTATTAACAGGTTAAAAGTGATGTGCAGAGCAAGATGTGCAAGAAGTTCAGCAGGAAAATCCAACTAAAAGCACCGGCAAGACCACACTAAAACAAACAAACACTTAGCCCAAAACAGAAAACAATCCAGTTGGATCAATCCAAAGGGTGCATCCTTCAGATTTTTAGACTGGGTCACAAGGAAGCCTAACCAGAAGGAAGGAATATAACTCCGCCCACAGTTTGGACAACAGCTACTCATTTCAATTTTAATTTTGCAACTGAAACAAATATAGATGTAGTAGACTAAAAGACAACTTTCAACCAAATAATATAATGCCTTAATAACATAAGAAGTCACTCTAAGCCGACTGTAGCAATTTTTTGTACTTTTTTTAAAAGAATTTTTTGGGTATAATGAACATGCCAAAAGCGACACCGCAGCATTTTATATGTGAAATCAGAAATAAAACGTCTATCATGCACATGATATGTAGCTGAAAAGAATCAGAAGCTGTCCAGGAAAGTCTTCTCAGAAATATTTAGGGAGTTGCGATGTAATCCGCATAATAAAACAGAGGCTGTGTAAGTTTATAAATTATAAACATGTATTTTGAAAGACATTGTTTTAAACGTAAATCACTAGAAATCCCCTAAGACAGCTACAGCCAACCTTCATCAGGAGTCCAAGATGGCAACAAAGCAAAACCAAGGGATGCGCCGCATGATTCACATGCAATTTTATCAACATCAACATTCACCCAACCTCTCCGAGCACATGCCAGTGAACTGATGACCTGAAAGAAATGACATAAGCAAAAGTTAGATACTTGATACTGTCATAAGCCTATTGTAGGAAGGAAATGAAAGATTTGTGGCAGGAAGTTCAACTGCTTACAGTTGAACGTTTAAAAGTTGTCCAAGAATATCATATTTCACTTCTAAGGATAACATTTATGGGAATCGTAATGTATAAAAAAATTTAGCTGAAATTTACTAAACGATGAGCCCACAAATGGGTACTTCATTTATGTAACATAATACTATTTATTATGGACAGACAACTTAATTATACTATCTATATGTGTGTGTGTGTGTGTTCTAAATGACTTAAAATGGAAGTAAAGACTTCAGATTTGAAAGACTTAAGTTTATGGGTATATAGCAGCTAAAGTACAAACCTTGGGCTTCGAAAACCAATTTGACGGTTTAAAAGTAGCCAAGCGGCGCAGTAAGTCCCCTCTTTCCCAAGGTCTACAGGACAGTCTTGATGATCCGAAAACAGAGCTACCCCCACCACCTCCTCCAGCACTGGTGCTCAAAGAAGTCATCGGGGGTTGCGAACCAACACAAGATATAGATGCTCCTTTAGAGCCTTGTCCATGAATAGACCCATCCACACTGCCCACGTTTGCCGGAACAGTAGGCGATGATGCCCCCGCCGAACTAACAAACGCAAAGCAGACATATTTAGCCAAAATTGAACATTAATACACACAACAAAATCTAATTAACCAAAGTTTAATTCTTTACAGCAGGTTTAATCGAATTAAGCTGAAAATCATGCAACATTAGGAAATGAAGCTGAAGTTCCAGCACCCCACTATCCGAGCAACCAAGTTACCAAACAGAGGAACAAATCGACCAATTCGACACATAAATTAACCAAATCCTAACACTAACTGCAAAAATTGGAACACTACAGTCGCAGCTCGAACCAAACAGCAATCAAATGCAAAACCCTAATTGGATCAGCAGCAGAAATTGGAGGAAGACGAAGACCTCCGAGAAGCTTGACAAAGACGGAGGTTTAGAGAGAGAAGAGGAGAGGAGAGAGAGAGAGAGAATGGAAGGGGTACCTGGCAGCAGGAGCAGGATCAATGTTCCCTCCGGAGCTGATGACCTCCTCCCTCATAGCTTCGGTTGATTTTCCCCCACAATATTTTCTTTTTCGAAAGCAGAGAATACGAAAGAGTGCGTGCGTTTTTATAGCGAGTACCGAACGCGTGTGGTATGGCGCGTAAAGGGTTCTCTCACTCCTTTTCGGTGGAACTGTGGGTCGGTTCGATGGGCGGGCGGGGATGCTAGTGGTTCGGGTTTTGAATTTCATTGGAGTCAGGGCGTTGAGTTGGACCCACCCACTCCCTTGATGCTGAGAGAGGATTCTCCTGATCCTAATTCTTACCTTTCAGAAATCCTTCAATCATATCTGTTAATCGTATATTATGCGATCAGTTTTTATCAGATACCGTTTATATTCAATTTTAAATAAAATTTTTTTAATAATTTATGACCGCATGATGTACGATGAACAGATGTAATTGGAAGATCTCCAGAATCCTCACAAAGAGAATCCAGCAAAGATTCTCCTTACTCTATTCTGGATGGACAACATGACAAAACCGAGATTTTTCAGTGTGAGTAGAGCACATGGTGATACATCACATGCTATTCTAAAATTGGTCAGATAATTATGTAAAAAATTAACAACTTAAAAAATAAAATTTTTCTCTATTTTTATATTAACACACTTTTCGCACAATAAAAACTTTCTAACTAGATCAGCCCAGTTTTTTATTGCCTGGTTATCTTATTGATCTTTTAAATATGATTTGCCTTTTCTTTTTTTTTTATCACAAAATATGATACTTTTAGCGAGTGATTTTCAATTAAGGGTGGTTTGACATCGTGATTAGACCATTTTACGATCGTTAATTAAGGGTGGTTTGACAGCATGATTAGACCTTTTTACGGTCGTTTGATAACAATTATGTTTTTAATTTTTAGTTTGAAAAGTGCTAGCAACATTTGCTCTAACCTTCACATTTAAACTTTATCACTTAAATAAATGATATGTGACATTTTTTTCACACAAAAAATAAGTTTATGTATATTTTCTATTTAATTTCTAGAAAAAAAAAACATTAAAGTTCTAGTGGGAAAAAAATATATATATCACAACTCACTTCAAGACCTTAGGTACAGAGACATGCTAAGGGGGACTCTATAGACTCTCTCTTACCTCACAGATTAACGTCAATTCCCATGACAACATTATAAAATATTGCGCTATAAATATGAATGACAAAGAATGCATGAAAAGTCCAACTTTAGAAGAGACTTCTTACCTGTTTCTCGTAAAAAAGTAAGACACCACAAATGCCAATTACCTTTGCCTATACGATATACCCCAACGGAGGATTTAAACACTTTCCAAAAGTGATACAAATTTACATCTCTTTATTTTTATATATATTGTCACCATAAAATGTAGTTGTATTTGGATACAAACCCTAACAAGTACATAACGCATTCTGAATGACAGGGTCACTACAAGGATATAACCCCAAGTGCTGCTTATAAGTTACAACAACAAACACGTGACAACGTTCACCCAAAAATTTGAAGAGAGAAACAGAATATAGCTATAAAACCCCATCAACATGTTCGCCCGAGGCCCGAGGAAGTCAATCATCTAGATGGCACAACACCGGTACCAGCACCAGCACCAGCACCAGCACCTGCGCCAGCGCCAGCGCCAGCACCAGCACCTGCACCTGCACCTGCACCAGCACCTGCACCAGCACCAGCACCAGCACCAGCACCAGCACCAGCACCAGCACCAGCACCTGCACTTGCACCTGCACCTGAGGGAGAAAAGAAGTGTCCGAGGGTTTCACTTTAAAAGGGATTGTTGGGGAAGACAGGAAGATATGCTCTGTGAATAATCTTAGAATTTAGACAGATTAGAAGGTGATGCTTACCGCCATCTGCTTCCTTCCTTGATTCATCTGCTGATTTCCAGACTATATCCTTCAGCCCCGTCGACAGGTTTTTGTAGAACTGTAAATACAAGACAATCGAGTATATATATGCAAAGGACAAAAATTCGCAACACAGCACACATAATGGTGCAAGATATGTGCAATTTCAAAAGTTGTGTGATTGCCCAAGCTGCAGCTAGATATGCAATAACCCTAATGCTGCAAGGGATTAATAACACGTCCAATCCATTAGGGACACTCTTCTGTGGTGTAGTTATCCTTAATTTCTCTTAATTAGATGAATATGAAATACTTATTAGATCAATTAGTGCATCAACGTTAACATACATTGTGAAATTCCAGAGTGTCTCCTCCGGACTTGCGAACCTCAACCATGTAGAGTGAGGGGGCCACCTCAAAAATCTGGAAGAAAGTCATTTTGTAATATCCATTGTCAAAGGGAATGTCAAATGAACAGAAGAAGAAAATTTGAAAGAAAAAAAAAAAGTGAAAGCCTAACAAAAAATGAAAATGAAAGAGGCGAACCTCTGTTGCAACGGATAAATGGCCTTTACGTCCAGTTTTTTCACCTTGCAGCTTCAACTGAGATATAAATAATGGCATGGAGATGTGTCACATAGCGACGCATTTTCCCCAGCTTTAAAGTCTACTTTCCCCAGTAAAATAGAGAAAGAAAATCGAAATGCAAGAGAATAGCCATTTACCTTGAAGTTATTTTTCTTTACACCAAATCCCAAAGGTGCCGCAGCTTCCTCAATTTTAGAAATGATCTCATTAGCAGGACGTTTGGATGTGAACCTTGTTTCTCGTTTAACAAGATCCTGGTTTGTTAAAGAAATGTCAGTTGTTTCCTTAAACTATATGTTTATGAATAAACCAAAAAACCAGAACTAGAGAGGAAAGGTTAAGACTTGCCAGTTAAGCAAAGAAAAACAACAGCATGATATAGAACAATCACAATTTTACGTTTGTTTTTCAAATTTAACCATACCATGTGTTTCTCAAAGAGACTACTGAGATTCAGGCCCTCGGATGTAGAAATAAGCTCAAAGGCATTCATTGTGACAGGCGCCACATTCCGCTCTTCTCGCCTCTCCACTACAAGGTTCTGAGAATCCTGTGCTTGGGAAGAATAGAGTACAAAGTCAAGCCCTGGCATCATGAACCAAGATAAATCTTAATACATAATGTCTCGCCCTTACCCCTGATTCATTGAATATAGAATCCACATCATCAAGACTGACATCAACTTGTTCAAAGCTAGGTGGCTTATATCCCTTCTTAAACCACTCATTCTCAATGACCTCAGCAATTGTAATTCTCTGTTGCATGAAATTAGCTTGTGCAGTAAATGCAAGACATAAATAATAGCGAAAGGAATTGAAACGCCTGGAAAACGGACAAATTTAATTTATATAGTAAAAAAAGGACAGGAGACCGGGACATACTGTCACGGGGTTAGGATCCAAGATTCTCTTGATTAGCTTCTTTGCACTCGAGGAGAACCATGGAGGACTTTTGAACTCGGCCTTAAATATCTGGTGGTCACATAAAAAAGATGGATGTAATCATGTAAAACATGAATAACAGAGACATGATTGATCAAATCTGGTGATGAGAAAAGAGAGAGATTCACCTTTTTGTATAATGACATGAGGTTGGAATCTTCAAAAGGCAAATACCCAGCCATTAAGACGAAAAGAATCACACCGCAAGACCATAAATCTGCTTTCGCTCCATCATACCCTTTGTTTTTTATTACCTAGGAAAAAAAAAGTATCATTAAGTGGAACACGGTAATAAGATAAGAAGAATAGTTAGTTTAACAAAAAAGTTTATACACCTCAGGGGCAACGTAATTTGGTGTTCCACATGTTGTGTGAAGCAATCCATCTTCCTGAATGAAAGAAATAAGATAATGACTCATACATTCAGTATTGCTAAAAGAAGCTGTCCAGTCCTGACTATCAAATTTTGAATGGTTACACGAAAGCGTAATACTCACTCGCACTTGCTGAGGTAGAGCACTCAGTCCAAAATCTGAAACCTTAAGAGTCCCGCTAACATCTAGCAGCAAATTCTCTGGCTGCAAAAAATTGACAACCGCAAGAACAGTTTAGTCTTACATTATAATATAGATGCATCAAAGGGGGCAACGAAAGATCTGAGCTCCCTACAAACTACAGATCCGAACTTATTACGCTAAAATAACAATAGCTATATATTTACATATATAGATACAACAAATGGGGCAACGATAATTCAAACCTTTAGGTCCCTATGAAAAACACCTCTGCTATGACAGTAATCAACAGCATTTATAAGCTGCTGAAATACTTTCTTGCTTCATCTTCTTTCAATCTTCCTTTACTTGCCTAACAATAGAACATGGCAAGAGGATTCTGATTATATATATCATCAGAAGTAAAAAGAATGTCCAGCAAATCAATTGAATAAGCACCATCTTACAATTTTGTCAAATAGTTCTCCACCAGTCACGAATTCCAAAACAATGTATATTTTCGTCTTGCTAGCCATCACCTACACCAAAAATGCATCCAGAAGTAGTTTGTAAGTACCAAACAAATCACGGTTTTAAAACTCTGCCTGCACCACGCACCAACAATATTGACAGTGGACATTGTACTATTGCCATGCCACCAACCAAAAAGCAAAACAAGAAATGGAAACAAATCCAACTGCCATGACCACCACCTCATCGTAAAATTTTGTTCTCATAACGATTAAACACATGTAATTCATCTTCGGTAGTGAGTGAAAAACATAAAACGTACAAAAAACAATAATGACCAGATTTGACTAACCTCATACATGCGAATGACATTCGGATGTCTAATTAATTTCATTGTTGATATTTCTCGTTTGATCTGCAAAAGGAGAGGAAATGACAGCAATTCATATTAATTTTACAAACCAGGGTGATGCTTGTGCCCTAAAACAAAAATGATTGTGAAAAATGATCATTTCCTTATTTTAATTTGACAAGTAAGTATGGATGTTAAAGAAACTGGCAAGGCAGGTGAGGGTGACGAGCGTATCCATCAAGTTAGACCATGTGATCAGCTTGTTTCTTTTCAGTTGAAAGTAATCTCTTGACCTTTAACATTCTAGCGGGTACATAACATCTACTAACAGGGTATGCCAATAGCAAATTATGTCTATTCAATTCTGATGTCCGTCAAGGTTAGTTCGATTCTGATAATATCCTATGCAAATTGTCGAACTTAAACTCAAACATGTTTACAGAAAACCATAATTTCCGTAATCTTGCTTTGCTTGTGTAACTGATGATATCAAAAACAAAACAAGAACCCTCATAAATTTCTTCAGAGTCAAGAAAGTCAATAAATTTCTTCAGAGTCAGAAAGTCAATAAAAGAGTAGCAATCAAACAGTAAAATGCTTAGGTCATCAAACGATAAACCCTACCCGCTCTTTTCAAAGTTGACTTTTTATCCCTACAACTTTACGTAAACAATAAACAATAAAACATTTTCATTTTCCGTGGTTCTTCCCAACTTTCTCACCAACCAAACAACGGGCCATCCAATATTTCCAGAGAATAACTCAATTAACATGCAAGCGAAACGCGAAATAAAATACATAATGATTAAACTAATAAAATTTGACAAAAATTCAAACCTGGCCGATCATCTTGTGCTTGAGGACCTTCTCCTTGTCGAGAATTTTGATCGCGAAGTTCTCCCCTGTCTCGACGTTGCGAGCGAACTTGACCTTGGCGAAATTGCCCTCCCCGAGAGTCCGCCCCAGCTCGTACCGCCCGACTCGCGTCCTGCTTCCGGTGTTCGACCTCGACGCCATCTCCAACCTCTCTCTCTCCCTCTCCTCTCCCTTCCCTCTCTAGAATCTTCCAAATTTTCTCTCTCAAAATTCCACTTCCAATACCTCTCTCTCTCTCTCTCTCTCTCTCTCTCTCTCTCTCTCTAATTTCTCTCTCTAAAACTACCTCTTCTTCTTGCAGGGCTGCCAAACCTGAGACTTCGTCACGCTCATTCTTCCTGAATTTGAATCCCAAAAAAGCACGAAACCCTTAATCTGCAGAGACAGCCGAATCCCGGAGACGCGATTTGGAGGTTCAAATAGGGAAAGAAGACGGAGATTTGGAGGTAAAAGCGAAAGAAAAGGTTAAAAAAACGTTGACCGTCCGATCCGACAAGAAACCCATCAATTCGGATTTCCTAATTATACAGAAGATCGAACGGATTGCGACGACGATGATGCTGCATGCAGAAAAACCGAAAGCTTTTGTTTTGGAGCGAAACAAATCAGAGATCTCCAGGAGATTGAATCTTTTTTCGTGGGGGAGTGGGGGGGGGGGGGTGGATTTTTGCTTTTGTGCTTTTTTGGGTGAGAAATTGGAAATAATTAACTGAAAAAACCGATATGATTGGCGGGACACGTCACACGCTGGACGGCTCGTTTCTATACGAGGAAGGTCAAGTACGAGGATATATATTTAAAAATACTTTTTCCACCTCGGAAGTTGGGATCCGGTGTTTTGCATGAAAAGGTCTTGAGTGCGGCCACAGCTGCGATTACTTTTAAAACTAGCATTTATTTACATATTTTGTGTCTATGAACATATTTTTTTTTTAAATTGGAAGGAGAGAGGGAGAGAGAGAATGTAGAAGAGAGTGGGAGGCTTTTGTTTTTTATTTTTTTTTAATTTTAAATATTGGAGATATTTTTTAAAATTATCTGTAGGTGAGGTTTTAATAAAAACAGTAAATTTTGAACATATGAAATTACATTATTACTCATCATTTTTTTTGTGTGATAGAAGACTAAATAGTATTTTCACTTTCTTTTTATTGACAAAAATAATTTCATTAATGTAATTTTAGATAAAGCAGCTTTTGGTTGTAACTATTTCTACGTTCATGGTATTTTTTTAATAAATTATTATTGTCGTTTTAAAATTTTTAACTTGAATTTCAATTTTTTATATTTAAAAAAAAATACACGCAGAATAAAATTTAAAGTATCAATTTTATTTTATATTATATTTGACATTTATGATTTTAAAGTAGTTTCAATGCGCGTGTTCTTTAGTAGCTTAATTTTATTATTATTATTTTTGTTCTTCGAGAGGAGTAGCTTGATATTCAAGCAAATGACGTGTGGATTAAGTTTAAAATTATAGTAAACAAGTGAATAAATAATGTAACTACAAATATAATTTAATTAACAAATAAACAAAACTGAAAACTGTGGACTATTTTGGTTGATTTGTTTCTCATACTAAATTATAAGCGTAATATGTAAAGTAGCAAAAATATCTAAACAAATTATATTTTTAATGTCCATTTATTCCACAATTTTCAGTTTGTAAGCATGTATGTTTGCAAATCGTCAACAAGAAAATGTGTTTTTCACTAAAAAGGTAATAAGATATGTTTTTAATGTCCATATATTATGTGGATAGGCTAAAGTACGATAGTACCACATGCAGTACCAAATTGCATAAAAACAAGTGCTATCAATGTGTGATGGATTAACTACTATATTCTAAAAAAATTTAAAAAAAAAAAGGAAAAAGAAAAGACACAGGCATCTTTTGCGTTTAAGGAAGGTGGCCTTGATAGTTGGAATGAGTTTGAACCAGAGTGATGGTTTAACACTATGACATTTGATGTAAACATTTGAATTTGAATTTAATCAAAGTTTCTATTGTTTTGAAAAATAAAAAAATTAAAAACAAAAATTCAAAGACCAAATTTGATATATGGACTTATGGGCCGGTTAAAACACAACCGCAAACTTTCATCCATTTTGTAAATGCAATATCTTGGGCCTTGGGGTTGGGCTTGGTTCAAGCTCAATGTCAAATCCATTTTCATCCCTGCCCTATTTTGTATTGACTAATAAGTCCCTGTCACTGAAACTTGTTTCTAAAACCCTAGTGGAAGCCGTTGAAGCTTGAAGCTAGGGTTTTAGTAACCAGAACCTGGTCTCTTTTTTTTTCTTCAGATTTTAACCGAAGCTTCAAAATTTGTTCATAATTTAGGAAAATGGGCGCCGAAGAAGAAGATAATCAGAAGAGCATACCAGTTCTGCCATGGATGCGAAGCCCAATCGATGTCAGTGCCGTCCACGAATGCCCTCTCCTCTCTCCTCCCCTGCATTGATCCCAGGTAAAAATACCAACCCGATTCACCAAAACTCTCTGAGAAACTTACCCACAATTCAAAATGCTAACTTTCTTGTTCTGCTTTGTGTTATGGACAAACCCAATTCACTATTTTTTGTTTTACTGTGAATTAGGTTGAAGGTGGCGTTGGAGAAGATGGGAATCTCTTCACTTTTCCCAGTTCAGCTTGCAGTTTGGCAGGAGACTGTTGGCCCGGGAGGTTTCGAGCGCGATTTGTGTGTTAATTCTCCAACTGGAAGTGGGAAGACTTTAGCTTATGCATTGCCAATTGTACAAATGCTGTCGACGCGCTCTGTGAAATGTCTTCGTGCGCTCGTGGTGCTGCCGACTCGGGATTTAGCATTGCAGGTTTCATTGACTTCCTATGCTTACTTCTTTTTTATCATGTCAATCTGTCTTAAGTGAATGAATTGTTTAAAAGTGATGCTATGGAAACTTTATGTGGATTTTGGGTGAAATATTAACTAAATTCGCAATTTTCATCTGCCGCTGGGTCAGGTGAAAGAGGTTTTTGCTGCAATTGCACCTGCAGTGGGGTTATCTGTTGGTCTTGCAGTTGGCCAATCTTCTATAGCTGATGAAATTTCAGAGCTTATCAATAGGCCTAAGCTTGAACTGGGTGTTAGATTTGACCCTGATGATGTTTTGCCCGAGTTACGAAGTTCTGTGGACATATTGGTGGCTACCCCAGGAAGGCTAATGGACCATATAAATAACACTAAAGGATTTACACTTGAGCATCTCTGTTATCTTGTAAGTGGCAGATTTGGTACTTCAATTTTCATCCATGTGTTGTGATACTGGAATTATAGAAGCAACATGCACTACAGTATATCTTTTTGCAAACTGGAAAACTTGATGATGCATGTTAAATTTCAAAATCGGTTTCAGAGTTTTGCGTCTGATGCGAGTTGAAACAATTTTTTATTCTGGTAGTCACTAATATGGCAAAGCATATGATGATTTATAGGTTGTTGATGAAACAGATCGATTGCTAAGGGAGGCATACCAGTCTTGGCTACCCACTGTGCTTCAAATCACTCGCCCTGACGATGAAAGTTTCCTTCCCTGTGCTCAAAATTTTCTACCTTCCCCATTTGGTTCCTTAAAAACCATAAGGAGATCGTGAGTTCTATGTCCATTTTCTCTTCCTCTGTCAATTTTTTTTTTTCAGATCATTGTCATGACACAGAATGAGCAATATTAATTCCTCTTGTCATTTTGAAATAGAACTACATTTTATTTTTCCCACATCACTACCATTCTCGTTTTCTAACGTACTTTTCAAACAAGGTTTTATATTCTTGTCTTAGTTTATGAGAGTGCAATAGGTTAATACCATGTTATCACTGCCACTGATTATCAAATGCTGGCTTTCGAATTTTTAGGATTCTTGGCACATACAACCAGCCTATTTCATGGGTTTGCCGGCTAGGGTTATAATTCTTACTTGCAGAAACTGAAACTCATATTCTGGCCACTACTAAAACTTGACTCTACCTGCAAGGGGATCTTGAATACTGATGGAAATGATAACTTGTGTTTAGTTAAAAATTTAAAGCATGATATATGCCTTGCTTTTGAATGTTATCTCAAATTTGTTTCAGTGGTCTTGAGAGGGGGTTTAAGGGTAAATCTTACCCCAGGCTTGTGAAGATGGTTCTGTCAGCCACGCTAACCCAGGATCCAAGCAAACTTGCTCAGCTAGATCTGCATCATCCTTTGTTCTTGACAACTGGACAAAAGCGTTATCAGCTTCCAGAAAAGTTACAGTCCTACAAACTGGTATTCTATCTGCACTCTATTGGTAAACACATGAGATTGGCTCTGTTTCTTTTTTATACATAAGGGAGACTTGTTAAGCTCATATTATGCATACTTTCTTGTTTGCCTTGCAAGTGTGGGATGATGGCGACGCTAGATTCATTTAGTCCCTTGGTAGCATAAATAAAGTGAAAAATCTGTGTATTATGTTTTGATAAATTTTTAATATTTTGATGTCTAAGGGGAACACTGTGTCTCTCCTAAATTTTTATTCCGTCTTATTTACAGTTATGCGAATCAAAATACAAGCCATTATATTTGGTTGGGCTCCTACAAAGTTTAGGAGCAGAGAAGTGCCTTGTTTTCACATCCTCTGTGGAGTCAACTCATCGTCTATGCACCTTATTGAACTCTTTTGATCATCTGCCTTTCAAGATTAAGGAGTATTCAAGCCTTCAACGTCAATCTGTTCGAAGGTAATTTCTGGGATATTTATATAAATTGAAGGGATAAAATTTTGAATTTGTGATTTACTTATGGCAGCAAGACATTGAAGGCATTTCGGAAAGGGGAGATTCAAGTACTCGTTTCATCTGATGCAATGACTCGTGGAATGGATGTTGAAGGGGTGAGGAATGTCATTAATTATGATATGCCTCCATACATAAAGACATACATACACCGTGCAGGTCGGACAGCAAGAGCAGGCCAAAATGGTTGTTGCTTCACACTGTTGCGTAAAGAAGAGGTATGTATTGTCTTGTTAGTCTCCACCCCAACGTGCATTTCAGATCAAGATTATGTGGAATAGAAATATTGTTACCCTATACCCATGTTTTTCTTTTTTCTCTTATTTTAGTATTTCCATCTTTCTTCTACGCCCTGGTGCAACTTAAATGGGCTGGTAAGTATCAATTCGTTATGAGCTTGTCATGTAAAGTAGATATTTTCTTTAAGTTTGGAACAAATTTATTTATCCGCTGAGGTCTATCCGAAAACTGGGATTATTATTTACCTTGGTTTTGCCCGTGTGAATAATCAGTTTCCCAATGAACAGATATATTTTAGCTTTCATTTATATCGGGCTTGAGCTCAAATAAGCAAAATCATCAAGGGACAACCTGCTCAGAGTTTGGGTTTGTTTGGCTCACTTTGCAGTGCTTTTGAGTCCTATTACTTGATCGAATATCTTAACTCATGAAAATTACTCGCTGATCTTGCTCATCAGCACATGGTTGGAATGAAAGTCATTTACGTGTTAATTATCATTCATTGTTCAGATTAAGCTACACTCACATCATTTACTTTAACTATCGATTATAAGTTGGGATATTTGCAATTTTCTCCTTTCGTTGCAGGTTAAGCGTTTCAACAAGCTATTACGCAAAGCTGAGAATAACTCTTGCTCTAAATACTCTGTTCCTTCTAGTTACATTGAACCACTCCACTCTATCTATGAATCTGGTAATTGCTTTGCTTATTTGTCATGTCAATAAAGATTAATGTTCACTCTGATGGCTTCCACCATTACGATGTTTGGCCTCCATCGAATTTACATGTTATCTCTAGCGGTTTTAAGCTTACACCAGCTAGATGTAGTCGAATGACTTTAGATGCTTAAACCAACAATGCTCCTTATCATATCTTTTCTTTTCTCAATGTGACAGCACTGGAGAAATTGAAAGAGACTGTTGAAATGGAAACATCCCGGAAGAGAAAGCGGTGAAAGGAAACAAAACAGAGCAGCCGCGAAAAGAGAGTAATTACTGAAGCAAGTTCCGCGTAAGAGTTAAGGTTTGTGGAGGGGTAAATGTGAAGGTGAACTCCCCTCAGTGTACATGCTTCATAGTTGGTGTAACAATTAGTATGTTAGCAACCATTTATAAACTTTTTACCACCAAAGCATTTTGCTACCTTCTTAGACGTAAATGGTTGGCTCAGATGATCTAGCAGCAGGACCTTGCAGGCGATCGGACGTTTAGTTTGATACAGAGCTCAGGTCGAGGTCGTATCGCAAGAAGACATTAATCTGTATACCGTTGAACTAGCTCATGTTCTTAAAACTTCAGTGACCAAACAATCTGATAGATTACGTCACAACTATCATAGATACGAATACGACAATAATGGAATTAAGCTTAAGATATATTCACAAACTATTATTACTGTCGCATCATTTGGTGTACGAAAATTGAAATATTCTTCGTAATACTATATCGCATTAAAATCCATATTTATACGATCTCTAATTTTCATTAATGTAATGTTTGTTATAATATAAAGAGTATCGATTTATCAGATCTCTCTTACTGCTGTTTGAAGGGTTCTTGTTTTTGTGATAAAGAATATATATGCGACTGCTATCAGGCTACGATATTTTTCTGTTTTAACATATATAGCCATCCTATATAAAAAACACACACACATATATAGCCATATCTCCTTAATTATAAAGAATATGCAATTGCTAGGATTCAAGTTTGATAATCCGATTATAAATGGATCTATATAAATCAAGGCTAATTCAGTCTGACTTGATATAGTTATGACTTAATATAACATATTATTTGATTTTTATATGCTTATTGTTAGATTCCACATCATCTATGGGAGAGAATCTTATATGCCTTATATGTGCATGCTTACTTCCATATAGCACGAGGCTTTTTAGGAGCTCACCGGCTTCGAGTTCCATGGGAACTCCGAAGTTAAGTTAGTTCGCGCGAGAGCAATCCTAGGATGGGTGACCCACTGGGAAGTTCTAGTCTGAGTTCTCAGAAACAAAAAAACGTAAGGGTGTGGTAGTCGAGCCCAGAATGTGGTAGGGGCCCGGACCGGGATGTGACACTTATGTTTTTCTATAGTGGTAGTTTAAAATTGGAAAAATGTACACCTCTACGCACTTTTCTTATTATTCAACATGAAACTTTTAATTTTCGACAAAAAAAAAAAAAAAAAAAAATGAAACTTTTAATTAAAATCGAAAAATATAATAAGAATGAGGTCGCTAATTAATGATATTTTGATATTTTCTAGGTTTTAAATTAACTTCGATCTATCCAAATCCGATGTCCATCAGATCTGAATCAATAAATAAGATTTAATGATCTGGATAGGATTCAAATCCGTTAATATGATTTTAAACGAATCCACATATGGATCAAGGGTAATCCAATCCGAACCCGACTCATTTACATCTAGTTTAAAATCTCTCAATCAAAATTGAACTTATGTCAGAAACTTGAGAATCAAAGGGTTGAAATGTATATCCCTTGTGTGTATTGAATCAAGAATTTTCTAAAACGAAAAACAGGCTTTTTTTTTCGTGAAACGATAGTAGATTGATAAACTTATAAAGGGTTACAAAAGCCAATTAAGGCAGTACAGAATCCATGACAAATCATGAAAACCCCTAACTGACGACCAAACCAAGAGAGCGCGGAGAGCCATAGCTTACAGCAAGAAGAGGAGAGCATACATGCAGGAAATGAACACATTAGCCGCTACAAAACAGCCGCGATCATCACGAACAACTCCGCCGTGGCTGCCTAATTTCCTTTCCGCATCCCACGCACCATCGACATTCAATTTCAGTTTGCCGGATGGAGGTGAAACAGGCATTGAAAGTATTGAATCAAGAACTTCTCGTTCAGCATTCGCACTCTGTGCCAAACACACATTACTGAATTTTCAGTATGGCTCAACATCTCAGATGGTGCAGGTTGAGCCGCTCATATGATCTATATACATTGAGTTCCGGATCTTTGAACAATTTGTGACAATGGTCACGAGTACTAGTGCCTATTGATGGTAAAAGACACGAATCTCGTTCATGCTTCAGCCCAGTTTTTGTGTAGTGATGGCTACATTAACATTACATGGAATTGCAATGTGATCATGTGAAGCTTTCAAAAATTGCAGCAAGAAGTTACGCACCAGATATTCCAAACCAAATCAAGACATTGACTCAATAATTTATATTTTTGAAGCGAAACCAAATCCAAGAAATCGAAGGTATCTTTGAAGCATGAAAGGGCTGGGGAGCTTTTCTATCCGGGCTTGTCTCTCCCATTGCTCGGATGGGGACAATAGTGGTTTGCTTGAAAGGATACCTATCGACAATTTGAGCCCTGGTGTGTGGTTTTGCTCGTTTTATTTTCTAATCAATCGGGCAATTTTAAATTATAAACTTTTTCTTCCAAAAATGAAAGCACTAAATAAATAATTGCAAATTTACAAACAAGATTCGGAAGTTTGGAATCGAAGGGACATTTTGGTCAATCATCGGACATAAATCGAAATGCAATAAGATCAGACGAAAGTAGGATTTTTGGCATGCATTTGGTGGATTTTTTTCAGATACTTATTTCTATGTACATAGAGATACCTTTATATATCTATCTAAACCTACCCACATTTAAGCCTACAAATACAATGCTACGAGAGTGACAATAGTACGTATAGAGTTATTTGTAAAATGGTTAAAATCATTGTGGCTTGTCGGTGTTTTTATTATTTTTGTTTTTCTTGGTTCATGTAATGAATCTCCCTACATCCAACTTCAAGTAATCTATGCATACCAATAGGTTGAACTAGCTCACCGATCATATGATCTCCAATTTTCATTTATGTCTGTAGCTACTAGTATGATGTCTATGAGACCCATAGATAAACAGTTCTGCAACTCGGTGATAGAAAATGTGACGTGCACAGCTGCAGGAACGGATTAAGCGTGTGTTGATGCATGTGTAGGCAAATACAATGGGTTATCCGAACCGATATGCGAAGATATCCTTGGCGAGTCGAGTGCATTATCTTGCATATGCAGACATCATCCATGCTAGATAGGTGCTCATGTCCTCTCTTGTGTGTTATCTTCGTGGATTATCAGTAACAAGGAAATAAAAGAATGTTTGTTATAATTATTGTAAGGAATATCAATTTATCAGACTGGTTGAAGAAAATTCAATTGCTACCAGGCTACGATACTTTTCTGTTTTAACATATATGGCCATACCTTTTAAGTTCGATCTATCGGTTGGGGGGAAGAAGGGCAAAGCTGTAGCAATATTTTCCAAGCCATGCATATATTAGTCCTCATATTTCCCAGAACTAATTAAGAGTAGCAAATAGATATGAAACATTGATTGATGGAAAAGCAATAGTTAGTGATTCTGTACTCTGTACAGCATAATATTGCCTCTCACTTTCCATATTATATATACATATATGTACATATATATATTTCCTCCATTCGCCTAATAGAAAAAGTTCCCTTCACAGTCTTTCATTAGCTCAACTGATTTGGTCATCTCACTAATTCTCCATGACCATGCATGCATGTTTGTTGAACCAAAAACAGAAAAAAAAAAAGGAGAATACATAAAATAGGGCCTAAAAAAGACGGCTGCAACTCAAATACTTCGTCACAAATTAACGCCTTCAAGGCTAGATAACGAGTTTCCCAGTTTATTTGCTTGGCTTCAAAGGCGTAGTCTTAGACTCTTAGTGTCCCAACACCAAGAAAGACCTACGAACTTTCCTGAGAAAGTACTTTGACTCGGCACCGGAGGCAGAAGCAGAAGCGAAACTTGGTGCCGACGATGACGATGAGGAGGAACGAGCAAACCTGTTGGATGATGATGAAGGGAGAGAATCATTTGCGGTATGAACATGTTCTCTCTCCTCCTCATTAATTGTATCCAACACCTTTGAAGTTCCTTGCCTCATCACACTCACAAATTGTGGCGGTGCAACTTCTGTGATGAACCTTGCTAGCCGCGCATTCGCCATTTTCTTCACTACAAGTTGAAGAAAACTAGTAACAATTGAGAATTTAGAAGCGATCAGGCAAGAGAAAAAAGAAGAAATCTGAGAGAGAAATGTACTTGAAGAAAAGGGTTTGCTTGTCAAACCGAGTATATGAACACAAACTTATATAGATGAAATTTGTTTGGGTTTATGGTAATTAAGCCGCGGGTCCTAGTCCAGGAATGTTAAATCATGTTTTAATAGCTAGTGCCGCCTCTTACTTTTAACATTGATTGCTAGGGCTGACGTGGGACACACTTATTGGTCGGTGTCTATCCTTGGGTGGAAGTCAGATATCCGCAAGAGATATGATTTTTGTTGGGAACGATGGCTTCCAAATTTGTACTTTTCCAGCCGCACTGGGAATAGCATGGCCATGCCACGTTTCAGTTTAGCTTGCTTGATCTAGGCGGTGATGCTGACAAAAACTTTCTCGAGAAAATCTTGTTCCAAGAAAATAATGGTTGGCTCAAATCCATTTGGGGATACATGTTAGGAAAATATCCCAATCACGGTTTACTAGCACGTGATACCTACCGTGTTTGTTAGGTTGACAATTACTAGGATAATTGGTTTAGTTAGCTCGTCAAATTATGTAACATCATGCTTTTAACACATGATTAATTAGTGATTTGAGAGTTGCACTAGCTCACACTTGCAAAGAAAATTTGAGAAACGTGTTTTACTTAGTCATTCGTTATGTTTTACTACTAATCTGTGTGTGCTCCAACAGCCAATCAATCGTCAGAAATGCTAGGTGAGGTAGACAATCTTTCTTTACATTAGAAGGATTGGCTTTGTTTGTTGGTGGGATAGATCTTTTCCAATTCTTTTATCATTAGTAAGAAGATTTGAGTTTGGAACTTTTTTCAACATTTATTTTTTGTAAATTAACTTTGAAAGTTTTGCTTTGAGTGAAACCCTAACTCTTGAATGTAGAAATTCTTGTACTCGACTATGGTTGGATGACATTGCTAATGGTTGATCTAGTGTTGGTGTGACTAACTAATTATATCATAGTTCTCAAATTTTTATTGCAAACGATGAGAGCTTGATTGATTGGTGCCTGCTTAGAGTGTGCTAGGTGTATA